GCTAAAATATTAGTGTCGGAGACACTGTGAGCACGGAGACTGTAGTGTGCACAGCACATTTTTAAATGCTTATCTTAAATATGTAATATTAATTAAATAATGCTCATAAATGGCTGTTGAGATAATATTCTCAAGTGAAATAAGTAGAGGCATGCACCAGGTATCAGCAGTCCTTACGTCATGACTTAACAAGAGGATTCTCCCCAAGCCATCAAACTGACGTCATCAGAGCCAGAACGAAACAGAGCTACGAAAAAATTGGCTTCCAGAGCAGAAGCCAATTTTCAGTTCTTGATTAAAGATTGCAAAGGCAGACAATTTTTTTTGCCCAGTTTATTGACTTGCACGGTTCAATTGTTCACCACAAGACTAGTAATGTGCACTAAAAGCTGGAACTGGGAAACAGGCTAGAAAAAACAAGTGCTGATAAAACAGCAAAAGCTGCCTTAATGGCAAAGTACAATCTAGATTTTCATTTTCAGAGGAAAAAGTGCACTGCAGTGTATGTTCCACTTCAATGCTAAATGTTGTTACATGGTTGCTAAGTATTATATTTAACTAACAACACAAAAAAATTGTACTTGAAAAAAAGAAACATTTAAAAAAAAATTAAATTAAAAAAAAAAAAAAAAAAAGACAAGTACATATTCAGTAATAAAATTATAAAACAAATGACCTCAATTCTGTTGAGGTATCCGAAATATGACAATACTGAATTTTTATAAGCAGTGATTTAAAAGTAAGGAAGTAGATTATTTTTCTTAATTTGTATTTAAGTACAAGTAAAAGTACAGCTTTAAAAATATACTCAAAAAAGTGTGTTTGATTCACTAAAAAGATTCGGCTCATTCATTCACGAATCAAACTACTCTGGCTGCATTGCATGTTTATGATTCGCTAAAAGAACCGGTTCACAAGATTCATTTGCTTTGCGATCCGAATGGACTGATCACGGTGTTTGTTCGCGATTAAGATGTCGAATAAATAAACCCCCCCCCCCCCCCCCAAGGAAAATAAAAATTGTGGATTCAATGCTCTTTTCTTTACAGAAATGATTGTGAAAAGTTCAAATGCATGTGCTCAGCCAACAATAGCTACTAAACAAACTAAAATTGGGATATTTAATTTATTCATAAAATACTACTGACAAAACCCATAATGTGTAGCTAATTGCCTTTTGAACAAACAGTCATCTACACTCATTTAGTTGTAAACAGCATGTGTTTTGTTCACAAAAAAGAACGGACTCATCAGAGCATATTGTTTGGAAATGGGACTTCCTTGATATGTGTTTGATTCACTAAAAAGATTTGGCTCATTCATTCACGAATCAAACTACTCTGGCTGCATTGCATGTTTATGATTCGCTAAAAGAACTGGTTCACAAGATTCATTTGCTTTGCGATCCGAATGGACTGATCACGGTGTTTGTTCGCGATTAAGATGTCGAATAAATAAACTTTGTCAGGGTATTTTAGTACGATATTGCACTTGCGAGAACCTGCAACAAAACCGAACGTCATTCTGTTCTGGTATTTCTTTAAAGGGGTCATATGATGCGATTTGAAGTTTTCCTTTCTCTTTGGAGTGTTACAAGCTGATTGTGCATAGATAAGATCCCTGAAGAGATATTCTTTATCAAAGTTAAGACTCTGCCAAGCACCCCTAAAACTCGTTCTAACACGCCCCCACATATCTGCGTCACTATGTGGAAATAGTTGCGTAATGCCACCCAAATGTTCACACAAAGAAAGAAGGCGTGGTTTCAGTAACCGCAGTTAGTGTTGAAGCAGCCATGTCAGGGAGAAGCTGTGTGTTTCTAGGAAGGAGGGACTTTGTTGAAGTGTTTGAGAGAGGCGGGGCATAGAGGACCTACAATAATGTACAGTATTTGAAAAATAATGTTTTTTTTTTACATTAAAGCATGTCAACATATTCTGTTACACCAAATAATTATCTTTAAAAAAGCATCATATGACCCCTTTAAATGAAATTGGCTGTGAATAAACTCCCAATCCTATTCATTGCATAACACGCTTGACCAACATTTGGTAAGAAGTGTAAAGAGTGCAGTCTGTTTACAGATAGAGATGTGTTCTACTCATAACCACAGTAAAAGCCACCATAATCTCCTGAAAATAAAGTAAAGATCTGAGATTTACAGGTCAGTATAGTGTAATTCATTTTTAACCCCTTTTACACTGAGGGAGATTATCACTAAATCAGAAAGTTATGAAGGATTCAAAATGAAAGGTTTTGCTTCAGATTAGGTTAACACATTCAGTCAGTCTCTTTTTATTTGTCATTGTTCTTTCATCCAGTTCGCCACTCAATTCTCCCTCTTTCCACAGAGGTCCCAACAGTAGACCCCAAGAAGCCAGACTCCAATGTGACAATGTCCCCCAAGCAGAAGGAGGAACAGGCCCGTATGAGAGCCAAAAATCTGGCAAATGCAGTTCACTACATCTGGGAGACGGGTGAAGACAAATACATGCTGCGCTACTTTCACACTGGCTTCTGGTTGTCCTGTGAGAAACACAATGATGGTGCTGGTGAGGGCAAATGCTTCTGTATACTTCTTTCTGATATCTATAAGCTTTTAATGATGATGTTAAGTGATATATTAAGCTACAAATCATCAAAATTCACTTTTATTGGCATAAAGTTGGCAATTTAGTTATTTTGCAGCTGTTTGGCTGAAGACTTCCATTGTTCTTTATATAATATTCACATTCAATTCGGATCCAAAGAAAATGAGTAAAACACAATTAACACATAAAACAACTACTGTTATATGGTCAACTGTCAAAGCTGTTCTTAAAACTAATGTCCTGATTCGGTCTCTTTGAACATCTGTTTCCTGTTGTGGCCTTTCTTAACTCTTATTTAACTGCCATGGGGTCACCCCAGTTCTCAGAATCTGCTACAACAAGATAGTCTTACACAACTCAGAGGACATGTCTGCAAGTTTCTTAAGTCACATAATGCATGCACCTCACTGTTTTTAAAGCAAGATGGATGGATGGATAGATAGATAGATAGATAGATAGATATATAGATAGATAGATAGATAGATAGATAGATAGATAGATAGATAGATAGATAGATAGATCATTCGGAAACAAGAAACAGTTGACAGACTGTGCTTATTCTTCACAGGTGAGAAATGTCGGAGCTTCATTGAACTGACCCCTGGAGAAACACAAGGTGAGATGTTTGTGAGCTATACATAGAGAAATTGGCATGAAATAGCTCATTTCTGATTCTGTTGCGTATAATGTAGGAGTTCTGTGGCTCTCAGTGATATCAGAGTTTGCATACATCAGCCTCCTGGCGATGGGTTTTCTTCTGATGTGGGTGGAATTGCTGCTCTTGTGTCTGAATAAGGACATGTATGCGCTCAAGATCAATGCTTTTGCTGCCATGTGCACCGTGCTGTCTGGTGAGTTTCTGAGAGCTTTGGGAAAAAATATAGTTCTTAATCAGTATGTAACAGAGACAAACAGGGAGAACGATATATTTTATATATTTCAGGTATGATGGGAATGGTGGCACATATGATGTATACAACAGTATTCCAGATGACTGTCAGCATTGGGCCCAAAGACTGGAGACCTCAGACGTGGGACTACGGCTGGTCATTTGCGTGAGTCTCCATCTTTCTCTAATCCATCTTTTTATTCTGCCTTTCTTCTACTCTACCCAACTCTAATTTTGTGCCTTTATTTTCTTTTCTCTAAAACATAACTGCAAAATACTATAGGGTCCAAAAGTCTAGGACGACATTGAAATTCATTGGGATTCATTATATAATTACAACCTGCTAATAAACAGAAAATTTAGGATACGTTTTAAAATAAAGAACCTTTCATAACTTTCATAATGTAGCTGAAAATTCAGCTTTCCCATCATAGGAATAAATTACATTTTAAAATACATTCAAATTGAAATCAGTTATTGTAAATTGTAGTAATATTTCACAATATTACTATTTTTACTGTATTTTTTATCAAATTAATGCAGCTTAGGTGAGAACAAGAGGCTTTTTTCAAAAACATTATCAAATCTTACCAACCCCAGATTTTTGAATGGTAGTGTCAGGTGATTGCAACAGAAGTCAAAAATTAATAAGTAAAAAATTTGGAAATGGTCCTCACTGCAGAACACAAGATCCAGGGTGCGTGGTTGGATCCAGATCCAACTCCTCCCACCTTACATATACCTAAACCTACCCGTCTCAACCCCATGATCCCTAAACCTACCCATCTCCACCCCTAAATCTACCCATCTCCACCCATAGATATGGATCCAACCCCGCCCCCTGGATCTTTGTTCTGCAGTGAGGGGCTACTAAAAATGTGTGCTACTTCCACAGCATGGCGTGGATCTCCTTCAGCTGTTGCATGGCAGCAGCTGTATTCACCCTGAACTCTTACACCAAAACTCTGATTGAGATGAAGCACCGTGCCCGGATCCGTCTGGAGGAGGCCCGTGCTGCCAACCACGCGCCGCCCTATGATGAGGTCATCACAACCGGCGGTGAGAGCCTCTACTCCGTCAGCCGACTGGTTCAGCAATGTCATAAGGGTGCGTTTATCGACACCACATGGAGCTGCAGAGAGGAAGTGTCTGGTGGGGCTATCATGGGGGCAAAAAGTCCTCATGGACTGGTACTGGTGGGGGGGTGCGGGAGAGAGGGATGCGAGGACTGTGAGAGAGAAATAAATGAGGTGGAAGATGCATTAGAGAGGGAAGGGAATGATGAAATGTGTTGAGGAGAATGCCTGCAGGAAGTCCTTCATCATCAGCAGCATCAGCCGCATGAGTGACCATGTTTACATGCATATCATTTTCTCATTTTGATCCATACTTTGGTTAGGCCTTCAAAAAAGACATTTACATGCTCCGCAGCTGTTGAAATATCCCTGTATTCATGTAATCAGCATACTAGACGTGATCTTGGAATTTATTCTGAGTAATTTTGGACTGTAATTTTATCATTAAATGTCAATCATGTCCTACACGCGAGAGTGAGAACCTGTGTGTCAATTTCGAAATGTAGGTCTGTAAATGTTTTCTCTGTATGCTAATGTCGATTAACAACAGATAATCTTAAAGCGAAAGTTCACCCTCAGTCGCTGGTCCCCATTGACTTGCTTAGGTTTTGTTTAGTTTTTTTCCATACTATGGAAGTCAATGGGGACCAGCAACTGAAGGTGAACTATCCCTTTTAAGTTAGTTTTCTTACCGTTATCCTTTTTGTCAAAGATGGCCCAGAGTTTCTCTGCTCTCTTCTCTGGTGTGCTCTCATCACTGGGAAGATTTGCCTGCTTCTCTTTTGGTATGAGATCAAAAATTGCCTGATGGGAAATGAGAAAGAGCTGGATCAAATGACTAATTTGTTGGCTTGAATGAACTCACCAAATTTCAGGGAATACTGAATTAACATTTGAATCACTTCAGATTTAATGGCAATTTATCATATTTGAATTACTGTGGCCAAAATACATAATCTCCATATATCACACTTGTGTCTTTGTTCATGGGTCAAGTAATAAATTCTACCCTAATAGACTTATATAGTGTTTATTATGGGTCTCAACATGTTGCATGTTAGGGCAAAGACTGTAAAATACCCAAGACGTGCCACTTGTATAGTTTTGAATGGGCAAAAATGCAATGCTCAATATGGCAGCTCTATCGAAAGAAGCACCGCCTTTTGACTAAAAGAGCCAATCGATAATCGGTATAAGTCAATGCATCATTGCAGCTGCCCTTAGAAGCCTCGGTTGCTATAGAAACAGTCAGTTCTGGAGACGTGCACTTAGGACTGTCAAGTAATAAATTTTACCCTAATAGACTTATATAGTGTTTTTTATGGCTCTCAACATGTTTCATGTATTCTTTTATTAAAAATGTATTTTGAATGTTTCAGTTAAGTCAGAGTTCAGCAGATATCATAATTGCTTTACTGTATTACATGCTTATGCTTGTTTTTTTGTTGTTGTTGATTTGTTGAACATTCCATGGACCTGACGCACAAACCTATTTCCAAATCTGTTATTTTGTCCTGTAATCTATGCTTAGCTAGGTTTTAATGGATTGTGTTTAGGCTATGTGCTAAATTTATTTCTCCTTGCTTTCCCTCAGCTCCCCATCTGTTTGGCCTCAGTGCTATGTATGTCTTACTCATTCTTTAGAGCTTAACTTGCTTGTTTGGTCATTTGTTTGCATGCTGATTCGGCTCAACCTAATATAACTGAAGTTACCTAACAATAGGCCAATACAAATAAAGGAAATGGTGCCAGCAGTGCCAATCTTACTTGAGAGCTTTAGCAAGATAAAGAGGACAGCCATGTCTGGAGTGCTCTTCTAACCCGAAACATACATAGCAAGGTGAAAAAGTATAATAAATGAAAGACTAAAATTAACAGACTTTCAATTAAAAGAATCACTCTGCAGCTTTTTAAACCATAAAAACATGTCAATATCAAGAAATCTGTTATGCTGAAAGGGAAATGAGAAATGTTTCAGCAAATAACCATTTAAATTTCGGTCTCTTCACACAAAGCTATATTTTACCAAGATTGTACAGTAACTGTAACAGTAATTATTACTATAAAGTTTTAATAATCACTCTAATTCAGTGAGAATAGCTCAGTCCACACAACAACTATAACGATAACGACACAAAGGAACATTGGCATCACTTTCAGAACAATTGTTTTCTGCTGATAAATGCTAAAAAACATTGACATCCAATCAAAATCCAATCGACTTTAAAGTCCTTGAGCATCTAAAGTGGCAGACGACAAAACTGCAGCACACACTTAATAATAAATAGAACATTATCATGCGTTGGTGTGGACGCTATAAAATTATCATTATAATTAACTTTATTGTAATTGTCCTTGGTGTGAGCGGACCATTCGTTATTTTTGGAGCTTGACAACCTCCATTCTTTTTTATTGTATGCAATACAGTGTGTGAAGATTGCCTCTCTGTGTTCCTTGAAAGAAAGTCATGTTTGGAACGCCATGAAGGTGAGTAAATGACAAAACAATTTTTATTTTGTGGTGATCTATCCATTTTTACACCAATAAACCAGTTAAAATAGGCGTTTGACACATCTGAGAATGCAAATGTGTTTGTGTTGTATTCTCAGAATGCTGCGAGAAGTATACGATTAATTTTATGTCATGGCGGAGCTACTACACTTTAAAAAGAATCTTGCTGTGCAAGTTAAAGTTTACAGATAATTATCTGAATTTTTTTTTTAAAGTACTCATGTACCACAACTGTAACTCAGAACGCATGTTAAGTATTCACAACAGTTAGGTTATAATCCAAAAGACAGCTCTGGTTTGATGTAATATTACACTGTAGTTTATTTTTTAATTAAACTTGACACATCTGAGAATGCAAATGTGTTTGTGTTGTATTCTCAGAATGCTGCGAGAAGTATACGATTAATTTTATGTCATGGCGGAGCTACTACACTTTAAAAAGAATCTTGCTGTGCAAATTAAAGTTTACAGATAATTATCTGAATTTTTTTTTTTAAAGTACTCATGTACCACAACTGTAACTCAGAACGCATGTTAAGTATTCACAACAGTTAGGTTATAATCCAAAAGACAGTTCTGGTTTGATGTAATATTACACTGTAGTTTATTTTTTAATTAAACGTTGCTGTTTCCATATGATATAAGGGATATAATTTATACTGTTTATTCATCTATCTCTGCCCAGCACTCTACACTACTCCCTGGGAAATTGATCGGCCATTTCTGAGAAGAAGGCTTAAGAGTTGACATGTCATTGAATCCCCCTGTGCCCATGGTCTTAAATCCTGATTGCACATTGAAGCGCTTATCTCTCTCACAGTACCCACCACCCAATCCTTCCGCCTCCCTCCGCAATGAGACCTTGTAGAGTTCAAGCTTAAGGATGATGTCACTCTATGCTTCTAATCGCTGTTCTTAAGTCCGCTTTTATGTTAAATGCTCTTTATGTTTTAATTGTTTCTGTCAAATAGAGTCTGAGACACATTCAGACAGCCATGATCCCGTATGATTTATGGGGTGTCCCACCACCAGGCAAACTTAAAGGGTTAGTTCACCCAAAAATGAAAATTAGCCTGTGTTTTACTCACCCTCGAAGCAGGTGTATGTTACTTTCTTCTTTCAGACGTATCCAATCAGAGTTATACTAAAAATTGTCCTGGCCCCTCCAAGCCTTTCAATAAGGGTAAGCGGGTGTTCGGTTGTCAACAGTTCAGAAGACGTGAAATACAGTGCACGCATCCATAATAAATCGTCCCTTACACGGCTCCAGGGGGTGAATAAAGGCCTTTTTGTAAGATAAATATCCATATTTCAAACATAATAAACACTTTTTTCTCACTTCCGCTGACTGAGGTATGCGGAAGATGTTCAGGCGGATGACGTAAGATGTATGCGTCGTGCGCGCGCCTCTGAGAAATGCAGGAGCAAAGGAAGCAAAGTTTCCTTACTTTAGCAAAGGAAAACCAGTCTCCTCTTGGCTTATATCAAAATCCTCCAACAATTTTCTTTACAAATCCTAATTTTGTGCTTCTAATTCGTGACCGGCGTTTTGTTTTGTTCTCTCTCTGCGCTCGTCACTAATCACGCAACGCCGACGTCCTACGTCATCCGCCGGAACGCCTTCCGCATACGACAGTCAGCGGAAGTGAGGAAAAATGTGTTTATTATGTTTGAAATACGGATATTTTTCTTACAAAAACGCATGGATTCGCAATAGGAGGCCCCCCCCCCCCATTTTATTACGGATGCGTGCACTGTCTTCTGAACTGTTGACAACCGAACACCCGCTTACCCCCATTGTAAGGCTTAGAGGGGCCAGGACAATTTTTAATATAACTCCGATTGGATTCGTCTGAAAGAAAAAACTCACATACACCTAGGATGCTTCGAGGGTAAGTAAAACACAGGCTAATTTTAATTTTTGGGTGAACTAACCCTTTAAGTTGCAGTCACATTGCCACAAGTTTTCAGGCAACTGTTCATTCTCAAAAGTGTAGCAGTAGTTGATCAACACGGCGAATTTGTGTGACCAATTGTAACATGAGCGAGATCTGCGTGGGAAACTTTTTTAGCCCATATTCGAAACTCCCAATTGGAAATGGCTGGATTTTGGCTGCAAAATTTCACTGAGCAATGTAATTGTGACTGTGCCTTCACTGTCTGAGTACTGTCAGAGTTTATGTTAATGATGTTTTATCCTAACGTATTCCCAATGGGTGTCAGCTGTGTTTTTTTTTACTGTAAAATGTTAATAATTGTTCAAATTCTGAGGCAAAGTCCACAACAACTAATGATAACAACACAGAGAAAAAATAATGTGGGAAAAAGCTATTTTTTCCAAATGATGAATGATAAAAAAAAACATTGAGAGGCAATCAGAATCTGCCCTTTAAATAGCTGGCACTTGAAACTCCTTGTTTTGCAAATTTAGAAATGGCTGAAATTTGCTGACAAAACTTTGCCAAGCAGCCTTACTTGTGAACTTAATAAATAAATAAGAAATATTGAGTTGAAATATTATTATATGTGAAGAATTCTGTAATTGAATCAACATAGACTCAACCAATGTATTTGGGGGCGGGACTATCTGTCTGTCTGATCGATGACAGATGGGGGAGTGTTCAAACAACCTGTTTGAAATCATGAATTATGCCATTCTGTTTGGTGATGCTAGTAGCACAGAAATGATGCACTTCTAGCTAACAAAATCTATCAAGTAAATAAAAAGCATAATATATTTTCATAGCAGCCTACATTTTATGATTGATAAATTAAATCTGTGGAATGGTGGTTTGTCCAGTAGAATGGAGAACAGCTCCTTCGGCAGCTGTTTGTATACAATTTATGTGAAATCTAATCATTTTCTTACCTGGCTGAGTTCAGTCACTTCAGGTTTTGTGACGTAACCATTCTTGTCCACATCAAACAGTGAGAAGACCCACTCCAGCTTCAAGGTCGACTTGCCCGAGGAGGTCATGTGAAGTGCAACAACGTACTCTTTAAAGTCTAATGTACCATCATCATTGGTGTCAAATGACCGAAAAACGTGTTGGGCATAAGCCTTGGCATCACTCTCGGGGAAGAATTTAGCATAGATCTCCTCAAACTGTTGTAGTGTGATGCGACCTGTAGGACTCTGCTTCTGGAAGTTCTCATACCACTGGGTGATCTCAGATTCTGAGAACCTGGTAGTCAGCTTGAGGTCATCCAGGATCTCTCTGGGAATCCCTCCACTCTGTGCATTTCCCATGACCTCTCTTTGAGTGACAGGAGAATAGAAGATAGAAGAAACTGATGTACTGACAACGGTGTGAAATTATGCCCTTAGAAAGGATCAATGTTAGTCACTCAAGGTTTCCAGTTAAAAACGGGACACAAGTAAGTAGCCTAAAGACAAAAAAATAAAGTGAATCTAACACACAAGAGTGTGGGTCATATTCCACCCCAAAAATTTGTTTTAAATACAGTTATTAAAACACACCCACAATACCAAACATTTTAGTGTTCCTGAAATATGGCATATGGTGTCTTTTTCTGTCATTTATTATTATTATTATTATTATTATTATTATTTGTGTGAGAATGAACCATTGACAGTCAATAGACAGTTTCCTATCATTTATAATATCTTGACCAATAAACCTAGTCATGTTTATTGTACTTAATATTAAGTTTTTCAAATTGGCTTTTAGTTGCTCTCTATCACCCTCAATGGATAAATTAGTGTCAGTGTTGCTGAAAAATTAAATATAAAAATACTTCAATGCATGCATATATATATATATAGCTATGCACAGAAAAGTCAACCATAATTAGTACAGTTTATATATATATATATATATATATATATATAGACATGTGTTATATATATATATATATATATATATATATATATATATATATATATATATATATATATATACACACAAACACACACACACACACACACATATATATATAACTGTAACTACTAATTATGGTTGACTTTTCTGTGCATAGCTTATATTATGCCAAGTATTATTGAGATTAGTTAAAATAGTCAGTGGCAATGCCTTTTAAGTCATTAAATTATGAAACTGTCTTAATAAACTGCAGTAAACAACGGTTTAGTCTGTTTTTGCCCAACGTATATATTACAGATTTAGTTTCATAAAGGTTCTTTCCAAGCATTTAATGTTGACAAAACTAATACACAGGAGTAATAAATGTAAAAAACTGAATAGACAAATGAATAAACTCAGAAGTATGTAGGAAGCTGTACTGAGTAAAGTCACTGACTGGGATGCGTTTATAAATGTTTAATGTAGTGTATTTTAATATAATGATTAATATAGGTGCAAACCAGCAAAGAATATGCAAGATCTAATTAAAATCACTAGGCTCATTAGTAGTGCTTTAGAGAGAAATCAAAAATCTTGTATCTGTATGCATGAATAGAAAACAATGTGCTTACCTGTGGTTGTGGACTAAGGATGAAGAATCAAGGGGCAAGTTATCAAGGTAGAGTGTGGAAGAGTAATGAGGCAGTGCTGAAGGAGACGGCTACCTCTCCATAATTGGTTAAGTCAATTAAACAAGATTGCACAAGGCTCAGCCAGAAAAAAAGATTTACATTTCATGTTTTGTACAGTTGGTTTTTGTGTTCTGTTCTGTTTTTTTAACCCCATAATTATAGTCATATTTTTGGTTTTAGCTAAACAGCTCTAACAAATGACTAAAATAAACCACACACTCCTGGATGAGCTGAAACATTTGATACAGCCAACTGCTTGCCACAATACTACATTTTTACATTTAGATTTTTTTTTTAAGTAAAATGATAAAACGATGACGCAGCAAAGAATATGCAAGATCTAATTAAAATCACTAGGCTCATTAGTAGTGCTTTAGAGAGAAATCAAAAATCTTGTATCTGTATGCATGAATAGAAAACAATGTGCTTACCTGTGGTTGTGGACTAAGGATGAAGAATCAAGGGGCAAGTTATCAAGGTAGAGTGTGGAAGAGTAATGAGGCAGTGCTGAAGGAGACGGCTACCTCTCCATAATTGGTTAAGTCAATTAAACAAGATTGCACAAGGCTCAGCCAGAAAAAAAGATTTACATTTCATGTTTTGTACAGTTGGTTTTTGTGTTCTGTTCTGTTTTCTTAACCCCATAATTATAGTCATATTTTTGGTTTTAGCTAAACAGCTCTAGCAAATGACAAATAAACCACACACTCCTGGATGAGCTGAAACATTTGATACAGCCAACTGCTTGCCACAATACTACATTTTTACATTCAGATTTTTTTTGTAAGTAAAATGATAAAACGATGACGTTTTTTGTAGGCTGTTACTTGTGGTATTGGTTGTTTTATTTAAACAATATTATGGCAAAGACTTTTGTCTTTAAATACAAAATGTAGTTCCAGAAAAATGTCCTCAAGGGGTGCGCTGATCTCAACAATCAGTGTCTAGACAGAGGGATTTCCATTCAGGTCTTTAAAAATCTCATTAAACTAAGTGGTAATGGTCTTCTCCACATGGTGTGCTGTGCACATTTACAGCATCTTAATGTATTTTAGTGACTTTTGAAATAAAAACAGTTAACTTTGCAGTAGTTGAAAAAAAAACTTGAAACTTGAAATTATCTGGGCAATGACATGATTATCAGTATTATTATAAAAAAATAGAGGTTCAATTTGAATATTGAATATCTGCTCACTGGAATACACCCTCTTTTTTATTATTTATTGAAGTTTTATTGTGTTGATGGGGTATACCATACCATCATTGTATACCAAGGTAGGGATTTCCATTCAGGTCTTTAAAAATCTCATTAAACTAAGTGGTAATGGTCTTCTCCACATGGTGAGCTGTGCACATTTACAGCATCTTAATGTATTTTAGTGACTTTTGAAATAAAAACAGTTAACTTTGCAGTAGTTGAAAAAAAAACTTGAAACTTGAAATTATCTGGGCAATGACATGATTATCAGTATTATTATAAAAAAATAGAGGTTCAGTTTGAATATTGAATATCTGCTCACTGGAATACACCCTCTTTTTGATTATTTATTGAAGTTTTTATTGTGTTGATGGGGTATACCATACCATCATTGTATACCAAGGCTCTTAACCTTTAGAGGGGGATTGTACTTGTAATAAGTGTACTGTAAGTTACTTTGGATAAAATTGTTGGCAAAATGACTATAATATACATAATGGTTTGAAAGTAATTGGGGGGGGGGGGGTCACAGGGTTTTAAAAACCTTCCATTTGACTGTTGACATACTGTACAAACTCTCCTTACCTTTAATTAGTATCTTTCCCTAACATTAAATCTTGTTTTAACTTTCCACCTTTTTAAGCATTGGATTTTCTCTGGGTCATAAATACATCCTGATACTCTTCTGATCAGCTTACTGTCCCTAGTCTACCTTGTCTTGCCCAAGATAATGTCCTCATACCAGACAATCCCTCCATCTATAATGAGAAAGAGAACACACAGAAATAAACATGGTTGGAAAGAGTAAAAAAACAAGGAGGGAAAGAACCAGATCATGTGACATGAAAAGAAAGCCAAGCAAGTATTAAGCTAACATATCTGCTTAACCTATATATATAAAAAATAAAATTCCTGAAAAATAAAATTAAATCCCAGATTTCTGTGTTTTTTTATATTTAATAAAATATCACAAATTAAATAACAAAATATCTAACATTTAAATAGTTAAATGTCATGTAGCAGTGACAAACTGTTGGCTTAGTTCATCATCTTTCTCTTCTGATCAGCTTACTGTCCCTAGTCTACCTTGTCTTGCCCAAGATAATGTCCTCATACCAGACAATCCCTCCATCTATAATGAGAAAGAGAACACACAGAAATAAACATGGTTGGAAAGAGTAAAAAAACAAGGAGGGAAAGAACCAGATCATGTGACATGAAAAGAAAGCCAAGCAAGTATTAAGCTAACATATCTGCTTAACCTATATATATAAAAAATAAAATTCCTGAAAAATAAAATTAAATCCCAGATTTCTGTGTTTTTTTATATTTAATAAAATATCACAAATTAAATAACAAAATATCTAACATTTAAATAGTTAAATGTCATGTAGCAGTGACAAACTGTTGGCTTAGTTCATCATCTTTCAAAAAAAAAAGTTTGCTTAATCATTTTTTCTTACAACAACTTTTAAATTAATAAACACATTTTTTGTGTCAAATTGATAGAAACATTCTGTCAAAATAGCTGAATCTCTATTAAATGTCTTTCGTGTGAAACACTAAAGTCTAAAACTAACCATTTTCATGAGCTCATATTAATTTAGAGGCATCATGGAATATTTTTACCCCTATTTGTCACCATATAGAAATACAGAAATACCCTTCCAAAGCATGCAGTAAGGTTCTCCACTAAGGTGTTTGCCTCAAAAACGGGCGTAAAATGCATTATAATCTGTCCAAAAGATTTGCAAGATGTTTAATCTCACAGATCTTTTTGAAAGGAGGTGGTTATTTGACCTTTGGGATCCACATTGACCTTTGGGATATTTATAAATAACTATTTCTAGCTTATCAGCCATTTCAGCAAATTTACAATTTGCTTTCTCTTAGATTACACCAATTTATTGATTTAGAATTGCATAACTACCATTGATTTGTATTTGTATCTAACTTTTTCCACATTGTACTTTTCTCATATCAAGTGCCAATCATCCTTACGCACTCCAGTCTATACCACACAGAATATGCCACTTTTAGACCACATGTGCTAATAAATCCCAATCCCATTAGATGGCTTAAAACAAGAAAAGCCCTCAGGGATAAAGTGTAAAATGGGAAAAGACCCTAGAGCTAAATAAAGCCCAGTTTTTTTAAGTCTTATACTAAGTGTAAGCTTCTTTTTTGTTTACTGGAGACACTTTTAGAAGAGGCAGAGAAGAAAGTTGATCTGCTTAGAAAATCAGTCTTATATTTATCAAACTTTTCCCTTTATGTTTTACATTTTATCTTGTTAATTTGTGTTTTAATTTCACAACTGACATACCCCCTGTAGCGAAGAATAATGTAAAGGAAAAGTAATTTTAAAAATGTATTTAAAAAAAGAAAAAAAATTTAATTAGTGAAAAATGTCATTTTCAGTCATGTAAAAATGTGACCGCTAGTGAACTTGAAAGGTTCAAGTTTGTCTCCACCTAGAGATCATATGAAGTACTGCAAATATTGTACTCTGGTGGAACACAATTTAGTAGGCCACTTCAACATTTTCATTTAATATAAAACAATACTGACAATTTGCCAAATATCAGTCAAGATCATATACATTTTGTGGACATGTTCAATGAAAAAAAGATAACTAAAACACACCTTACAGAGAATAAACACTGCACTTGGCCATAAATTGCCAAAAACAACAGTAAATAAAAATACATTGCCCTACATTACAGTAGAATTGTTTAGTTCTTAATGACTTGTTACAATAACGGAAGAAACTACAATAGTAGTATTATATTAAATCTAATCTTTATATTACAAAAGTACAATTGAGTTATTCAAATATCTATTGCAGTCTGTTTCCAGGCAGTTTACTTAAGCAAGGTGTAAGGTCAGAATACTTAATTTAACAATACTATTTATTTCCTTTAAATCTCCATATTTAATCTGTCAGGGACAAAAATTAGGCACTTTTTATAAAAAAAAATAGAAATTAGAAATAAAACAGCCAACAGCATCACCCTCAAAAAGTTAGGGCTCTCTGTGGACACGATGCGTATATATTTTCTTGCTGAGGCTGCGGGCCAAGTGATCCACGGCATTGCCGATTCCCCTCAGATCCTTCTGTGTTGGCATACCCTCAATGTTGCCGCTGTACCACATGACCCAACCGCCAAGAGATATCAGTACCAAGAGAGCCCCAGTGTAGACAAGAAGGTCCCCGAAATCTCTCCCCTTCATTTCCAGTGGCACAAAGAGCCCCAGAAACAGGGCCGTAAAGCCAAAAATGTCAAAAATAACAGCAAAGCCCAGGGCCACTTTGCAGTGTTTCAAACCAGCACACGCCATGCTAACTGTTGGGGACAAACAGAAAGTGAAATATTTTTTTGTAGCATAAATTAATGCATTCATGAATAGGGCATAATATATATTAACAGTGCATTAAAGGGGTCATATGATTCGATTTCAAGTTTTCCTTTCTCTTTGGAGTGTTACAAGCTGATTGTGCATAGATAAGATCCCTGAAGTTGCAAAGACTAAAGTCTCAAAACCAAAGAGATATTCTTTATCAAAGTTAAGACTCTGCCACGCCCCCCTAAAACGGCTCGTTCTAACACGCCCCCACATATCTACATCACTAAGTGGAAATATTTGCATAATGCCGCCCAAATGTGCACGC